TCTACTTAACCATGATTCCATAGTCACCTGCTTGTATTGGAAGACATCCTAGTCAATTTTAGGTACGTGTCTACCTTACTGCACTTCGTATTGTTTTTTAGGCAGATAGATTGTCTAGAAGAATCGCTGACATTAAAATTTTAGTTGTGACCGCTAACCTCTTAATCACCTAACAAATACTCTACTAAATGAATCTTTACTGTTGGTGATTGAATCTTCTGAAAGCTACCATTGTAGCGAGATGTCCTGCATTCATTCCAATTACCTTGTATTCTAGATTTGATGGACTTGTTTTGACCCTCAAATTCCTGAGTGTTCTTTTAGCCTTATCGAGATAGTTTTTTTGCTAAATCCAAGAGAAATTCAATATGAATATGCTCGCTAAAGCGTTGTGAACTACATTGTTCGGCTACATGGTGTACACATCACTACTGTATCTCACTGTGATGCATGATTTACTTCCAAGTCTTTGGAAGCCTTCTTAAAGGCTATGAGTTGTCTGTCCAGTACCACATTTCACCCTCAGACTAACGGCCAGTCTGAACGAACTATCCAGACCTTAGTGTACATGTTGCGTTTTGTCCATTCTGTAAACTATGATAAGTAATTTCATACTATATGCATTATGTTATATTTGGAAACTATAATTGTTTTCCGAAGATGGTTTATTACATTTTCAAAAAGGTTTTATAAAGTTTTGTTTTTAGACCCACTTACCCTTGTTTTTCGTCCCTCCAGGATTTAGTAGCAGTGTTCATGTCGACGATGATTTTTAGCAAACGCTGATATCGGATACTAATTTCGATGGTATAGTTCTTATTCTAATTTCACTGTACTTTACTTATGATTTGACATCACGTGTGAAATGAGTTCATTCCCACTCACATGTGCACTCTTGCATTTAGGCACTTTTAGGTTTAAAGTTACTCACATTTTCCACATCACTACTCTTTATGGCTTCATCACCCTCCTGGTGTTAACCAGCACAGCTCGATTGGGAGTCCAAGTGGACATTCTGGGTCAAGGTGTGTCAAAAACAATTAAAAGAATATTTAAATCAAAATTCACCAAAAAAAAACTCTATAAATACATGTTTCATAGGGTCAGTTTAGTTAATTTTCAACTTTTCTCAAATTCTAATTATTTTTAGATTAAAATGTTCATAAAAATATAGGACAAAGTTACTGGAAAAAAAAAATTAGCTTAAATTCATTCTTTATTAATCTCATGCTAAAATTTTAACCCATAATTATTGAAGCAAAAAAACTGTTACATCCTGGCCCGAACCCCCACCATATCCCGAGCTCAACTCCGCCGTAGCATGATGTTGTCTGCTTTGGGCCCCGACCACGCCCTCACGATTTTGTTTCTGGGAACTCACACGAGAACTTCCCAATAGGTCACCCATCATGGGATTGCTCTCGCATGAACTCGCTGAACTTTGGAGTTCTGATGGAACCTGAAGCTAGTGAGCTCCCAAAAGGCCTCGTGCTAGGTAGAGATGGGAATATACATATAAGGCTTATAGGATCCACTCCCCTGGGCAATGTGGGATGGCTACAATTCATCCCCCCTTAGGAGCCCAACGTCCTCGTCGGCACACTTCTGGCAAAGGATTAGCTCTGATACCAAATTGTCACACCCCAGCCCGGGCCCCCACTACATCCCAGGTTCAACTCCGTCGTAACACGATATTGTCCGCTTTGGTCCCAGACCATGCCCTTACGGTTTTGTTTCTGGGAACTCACACGAGAACTTTCCAGTGGGTCACCCATCATGGGATTGCTCTCACGCGAACTCACTTAACTTCGAAGTTCCGATGGAACCCGAAGCCAGTGTGCTCCCAAAATGCCTCGTGCTAGGTAGAGATGGAAATATACATATAATGCTTACGGGATCCACTCTCCTGGATGATGTGGGATGCTACAAATCATGAGGCCCGGGCCGGGATGTGACAATTTGGTATCAGAGCCAATCTTTGGCCAGAAGTGTGCCGACGAGGACGTCGATCCCTAAAAGGGTGGATTGTTACATCCCACATTGCCCAGGGGAGTGGATCTTATAAACCTTATATGTATATTGCCATCTCTACCTAACACGAGGCCTTTTGAGAGCTCACTGGCTTCAGGTTTCATCTGAACTCTGAAGTTAAGCAAGTTCATGTGAGAGCAATCCCATGATGAGTGAACCACTGGGAAGTTCTCGTGTGAGTTCCCAGAAACAAAACCGTGAGGGCATGGTTGGGGCCCAAAGCGGACAATATCGTGTTATGACGGAGTCGAGCCGGGGATGTGGTGGGGGCCCAGGCCCATGTGACAAAAATTGTTTCTGTGTTAAAACCTACATTTTCTGGGTTAAAAAGTTTTGGTTTTAACCCAAGGGTTGAAAATGGTCTAAGAGAGGTAGCAATTGAGTAGCAAAGTTAAATTTGCTACCTCAAGTAGGAAACATGCATCTTCAACATAGGTAGCAACCTAATTAGTAAATTAATAAGTAGCAATTGATCTTGTATATTTATAAGATTACTTGCTACTTCTTCAACTAGTAAATCGTGTGCGGCGATATATTCCAAATTTGGGCCCCAAAAAACAAACATGATATAATAATATTTTGGATTAAATACCTAAAACTCTCCAACTTTTTAGTGTTATTCCAAATTGGGCTCAACCTTTTTAAACATTCCAAACAAGTATCTAATTTATTGAAAATGTCACATCTGTCAAGACCTAATTAATTTTTTTTGTTAAATTAATTAGGGTTTACTTTGTCTCCAACATCAATAGAAGGTTATGGAAGCATGGCCTCCATCAAGTAACAGTCACCACCACTTACCTCCAAACCCAATGCACCACCACAAACTTTACCCTACAACTCAAGCAGCCAATATCTAGAAGAAGGTCATGGAGGTTGCTGAAACGGTATGGACTGCCATGATGTGGCCCCCACCATCTTCACCACCCATAAAGAAGAACTCGAGGCTTTACTAGCAAAAAATTGGCGAATGAGGAAATCACATAAGTAGAAATAAGCTCTTTGAAACCTTATATGAATTCTTAACCTCTTCTTTCTTTGTTAGGAGATTTCTCAATCTTCATTTTTGTTTTCCATTTTATTTGTGAATTTTTTATTTATATTTTTTATGCATCTTCATGTCTTTTTTTTGAAGTTACTTTTGTTATTATTTTAGTATCCAAATAAGCAAATCAATGGGATCCATTGTTGTCACGTGTACATTTAACGAAAAAATTAACTGAGACTTAACATATATGACTTTCAATAGATTAGGTACTTATTTGGAATGTTTAAAAATGTTGAGACTAATTTGGAATGACAATACAAGGTTCAGGTTTTAAGTACTTAATCCTAATATTTTAAGATAGAGAATAAAATTTGAAGAGTTGGGTTAAAAGTAATTGGAAGAAAAAAAATTGATAGTAGCATATAAGTACCACGTAGTTAGCAAATAACACTTTCACATATAAAATTGGCTATCTCCCTTGGAGATGTAAAACTTATTGTGTTGGGTGGTGCTACATACACCAAATTCGTGCACGAAATTTGTGCACCAAATAATGTGACCCATCTACACCCTATAAACTTAATTGATGTGTCATATTTTACACCATATAAATTCGATTGATGACATACATTCAATGCATAAATTTGGTAAGCGTGCCTTGTTGACATGGAAAACAATTTCATAGGAAAAACAATGGTCACTGCATAATAAATTTAGAAGATACTATGTGCCTGCCTGGATTAAGGGCTTTCGTTTTGGAATTATTGACCCCTAAAATAAATGTGGAGATGTCCAATTTATTTATTATTAATTTTTTTTTTTTGCTAAAATAAAAAAATTACATAGGAAAATGATGTCAAAGTCATCTCACTTCTTAGCCAAAGAAAATTTTGAGGAAATTTTATTTAAACCCATTTAATCTTTTTTACACCTAATTTAAATTTCAAATGTTAATTGTCTATTTTATCCTATTGCATAATTACTATTAAGTACAAAATGAAATTAATAATAAAACTCAAATTTATCAATAAACCCAAACACTATAATTAAACCCTACGATCACTCTTTGTTTATCCTACGTTCATTCTGACTAAAACCCTAATAGCTCTCATAGAGAAAAATAAGTTTTTTTTTATTGATGGATGGTGATTTTGAAGTTTTGAATCCTCCAACCAAGGTATGACTCAATTTATGAATTTTTTGTTCGTTTGATTTTAAATTTTTTAGAGTGTAGAAGTTACTTTACTGTAATTTTTTTCAACAAATACAACAAAAGCATCCTACCTTCTGGGTAAAACAAACAACAACGAAAGCATATGTTTACTCCTCAGATTTTTTTGATAGCCTTTGGCTTAATCGCCATGACACAAAAAAAAAAATTATGAAGCAGTTGCTGCCCCAAATTCCAGAATCAATACTGAAATTCTAGTGATTTCTTGCTTTCAAGTCCAACCCTAGTGGTCTGGAGAATATCCTACCAATCCTTCTTCCCATATGTTTATACATTAAACCTGCTTTTGAATTACTGCTTACGTATGATGAAAAAATGTTCGGTGTGAAAGGACCCAGTGACCATGATTCCCTTGCATTATCTTGCTTAGTTGTTTCCTCAATACTAGGACTAAGAATATAAGTTATTCTTCTCTACTCTCTGATCATGTTTGCTTTGTATAATGTTCTTATTAATTAAAGCCTATTGTCTCTGGTACTTCATTTGTTAATATGAAGGTAGAAGTAGTTGCTTTGTCCAGTTACGAAGAGGAGGAGAAGTTTAAGGAGGAGGTAAACCCTTTACCATCAAAAGTCAAGTGGCATAGCGGCAGCTTTTGAGTTAAAAATTCAATAGGTGTAAAAATAAATGCACATATTGAATTGGGTTTATAGGGTATATTAGATATTAAATTTGGGTTTAAAGAGATATTAATAGTTTAGTTAAAAATCAAATGGATGCAAAGAGTAAGTTGGATGTATAAATAGGTTAGATGGATTTAAATAAAATTTCCCAAAATTTTATTTCCAACGACACCAACCTTTAATAGGAAAATGATGCAAAAGTAAAAAACATGGTAAAACCAGACTCTGAAGCCTCGTTACATGAAAGCTATACAGTGAGAAAATACAGCTATTGCACTCCACTCCACTAAGAAACAGGAAAGAAAGAACTAGATATTACAAAACACTGGAAGACGCGGAACCGAATTCATAAAGCCTTTAGCAACACACAACCTACGCAATGAGGAATGGCAGGACAGTCAACATGAACTCCTCGTAACTGAAAGTTCCCATACCATTGTACGCTTTGTCCTTCTCCTTAAACTTCTCGGTTAATCCCTGCAAGACACAAGCATCACAAAAGAAAACGCTCCCTTAAGTATCGACAGTTTAGCTGTTAACCCACAGCTTGTCCTCTTGAGATAATGAACATCCATTTTTGTGGAAACTATATGATTCAGTGATGAACAATGATTTTATGGTTTCCCAGCCAAGAAATTAAGCAACGAAATAAAGGGGTTGTTCGTCCTCTTTTTGAAATGCTTGTCAACTAACTGCAGCAATAACTTAGAGTTTTGAATACTCAACCGTACAAACTATGCATAAATCAGAATCAACTTTCAAGCCAACGCTAGGTTTCCCCAATTAACACTATAAATTAAGTGCACAAAATATAAGCCTTAGGGAAAATCGAACTCACCTTAACAGTCAGACAGCACCTGCATTTAATCAAAACAAACGAACAAGGAATCATCAGATATCGATAAGAAAACATAATATAAAATATACCACAATGAAATGCTGTAAGTATCTAATGCGTAAGGATTTGATCCTCAAACCAATCCCAAAAAAGAATGATAGAAAAAAAGGAAAAGGAAACATACTCGATGAAATTGTCATATTCAATGGCCCTCTTTTTGCCTCCAGTCTTGTCGAATTTAGAGACCAGCAGTTCTAAAACTACAGGTGAGACAGCAAATCCCAGACTCAGCAGTGCATCTCTCAACTCATTTGCATCAATGAACCCACTTCTGTCCCGGTCGAACCTCTCAAACACTCCCTGATCAACCACACCAATTACAAAACAGTTAATTTCTCACAAAAATTAAAAGACAAAATCTTATGAGATGTTTAATAACCATTTCGTTTTCAGTTTTTTGTTTTGATTTTTAGCTTTTGATTTTTTTAACTAAAAATTGAAATCTTGTTTGGTAACTGCATTTTTTTTTCAATTTTCAAAAAAATGAAAACTAAGAAGCAAAAAATGAAACCAAATAAGATTTCAGTTTTTAGAAGAAGATTAAAATTAAAAACAAAATGATTATAAAAGAGGAAAAAAAAAAAGAAAATTATTGGGATTACCCTCCAACTTTGAAGACTGTAGAACAGTGCAGCGAATTCCTTGGGCCCTGTTTTCACAATTTACCCACACACACACATAAATATCATTATTTACAAAGATAAACTGTACCAAATTAGCAAATACTCGAGAGCAAGTTGCATATAAAGGGTTCACCGCCATAGTGGTGTCCAGTCCACTAATAAAATATCACGCCACGTAAATAAAAAAACATAAGCATGACATGATGGACTAAATTGCCAAGACGGCAACGATCTGTTTCCATCTCGGTAATTTTAGAAAAGCTAAATACTAAAAAGACCAAATTTCCAATGTGAATTTTGTAAACCAAAACTTAGTCTCATATTATCTTTTTGTGGATAAGCATAACGCATGATGTCATAAAGATTCAACGGTCAACTGACCACGACTACCACATACGCATTCTATGGATTATATCCGATAGGCGTTAAGGGCATGATGGACATTCACTGATTCTAAGTTTCTAACCGCGACTCAGTGTCAGATCACTGACTCGGCGCAGGCGACACCGTTCAGTGCGCCGATCAAAAAATTACAAAGATATGCAAACATGGAGTGATGAGGTTTGTAAATTGTTACCGATCTTCCTGGTGTTGGTCTGGGTGAAGAGGTACATGAGAAGATGAACAGTCCTCAAGCTGAAGCTCTGATTGTACGACGACAGAGCTCTCTGCATCTCCTTGTCGTCGATGAAGCCGCTGCCGTCCTGATCCGCCAGCTGAAAGCAAGCTATGACGTTCGGGTCCGTGCCCGGCGGGAACACCGACGGAACCAAAGCCGCGAACGGGCTGCCATATCCCGGAGCAGGAGCCGGATATCCGCCTCCGCCACCTTGATTCTTGTGAGGCTTGTCTGGATTGTACGGCTTGTCTGGAGCATAGGGCGCGCCGTACGGTGCTGCTGGAGCGCCGTACGGTGCAGACGGAGCACCGTAGGGTTGAGCTGTCTGGTGTTGGTGCTGCCCTTGGGGCGGCGAGCCGTAGGGTTGACCTGGCGGAGCACTTCCATAGCCGGAGCCGGGAGGAAGGTGTGGGTAGCCTGACATTTTTTTTATTGTTCTTTTAGTGGTCTGAAAATTTGGTTTGGGTATGTTTGCAGATTTTTCAAACTGATGGGGACGCATGCATATATAGGATTCTAGTTTCAAGATCGGACCTGGGAAGGCTAGGTAATCACAGTGCTGCCATTCTTTTTAGGTTTATTTTAAGAAATAACTAATTGGGATTAACCAACTAATAAGAAGTCTCTCATAAGAAATTTCATCGAAAAACTTATAGATAAGTTTTCTTGTCATTAAGACTATTTTTAGAGTAACATATAAGTGCCATGTAGGTTAGCAAATGACACTTTTAGAGGTAAAATTTGCTTAACTCTCTTTGGAAATGCAAAACTAATTTTGTTGGGTGATGCAACATACATCAATTTTGTGCACTATATGACATGACATATTTTATATCATATAAATTTGATTGATGGGACACATTCTACACCATATAAATTAAATTAGTGACACATCATTTAGTTCACAAATTTTAGCCTAGAACACAGTTTAATAGGAAAAACAATAGTCACTCCAGTCAAAAATTTTAGTTACACCCCCTGGAACTCGATTTAATCTCACTTTGCTCCCTATCACTCAAAAGTCGTCACTTTACTACCTAAAACCCAAAATTTGCTTTATTTTGCCCTTCGGAACTCGATTTTGATCCCAGTTTGCCCCCTGAAACTTGAAAGTCGTCTATATTAATAAAACTCAAAATTCGCTCTACATTGCCTAGATCTATTAATTTCTTATGTGGCTTGATTTGGGTGAGCCAGACTAATCAATTTTTTTTTTATCTCTTCAATTTCTTTTAAACTTAATATTCTCTAATTGTTTATGTTGATGCATAATGTAGATTCAGAATCAAATTTAGGCTTATTTTTAGCTACGCTCCTAGAACTCCATTTTGATTTCACTTTGCCTCCTGTAACTCAAAGTTATCACTTTACTCCCTGAAACTTACAATTCGTTCCACTTTGAATTGTGAACTCTCACTTCTCCTTGAAATTTATGGTCGCTTTCGGAAACATATGTGGACATAACACCCGATAAGACTATGCCACATGTGCAATAAATTTGGTTGTAAATCTCCATTATGTGTTAACATTCAACAATCAGAGAATATTAAGTTTAAAAGAAATTGAAGAGATGAAAAAGATAAAAAAACAAAAATTAATTAGCCTTTCGCACCCAATCAAACCCACATAAGAAATTAACAGATCTAAGGTAATGCAGATCGACTTTTGAGTTTTATAGAGATAACTTTCAAGTTTCAGGAGGCAAAATGGAGCGAATTTTGAGTTTTAGGGAGTAAAGTTGCAACTTTTGAATTACAGAGAGCAAAATGAGATTAAAATTGAGTTCTAAGGGCGTAGCTAAAAATAAGCCTCAAATTTATTACATGTGACATAGTTTTATTGGGTGTTGGGTCTCATATATGTTTTAGGAGGCGACTTGTAAATTTCAGGGAGAAGAAAGAATCTACAAGTCAAAATGAAACGAATTTTAAGTTTCAAGAAGTAAAATTGTGACTTTAAGTTATAGGCGACAAAGTTAGATTAAAATGAAGTTCTATAAAGTATAGCTAAAAATAAATCTTTGAAACTATTGATTTGACCCCTAAAAATGAGGAGTAGACTATTTTCTCTTTTATATATATATGTTTTTTTTTTTAAACGAACGGTAACCAAATACAAGTGTGACTATATTTATATCTTAAGTTTGCAAGACTGTATATATTAACAAGTACACGAAAAAAATCCCAAAAAGTTGACTTATAAAGTGTCCTGTTAGTCTCAAGCTATTTCAAAACATGCTTTTTTTTTTCTTTTTTTTCTTCTTCTAAGATGGGACACTGAGGCTTAACATAACATCAATAAATCTTACACTGAACCCTATTTTTATTTAATTTTTAACAAAATAATCATCATAGTTATGTGTTTGGCAGACCAAATTCTTTTCAATTGCAAAATCTTAAAAATGAGATCAAATTACAAGTGATATGACTACTCGGGGTAAATAAAGTCTTGTCTTGCAATTATTTTTGGTCTAAACTCTTGTCCTCGAAGAAACCACACGATCAAATTGTGAAGTGTAAAAATAATGAAGAAAATTGACGTTTCACTCTAAATTGAAGATAATCACAAAAATTCTAGAATTACAAGTTGAACTCAGAATGCGATGTCCATCGTCGGTCAAATAACTTTTTCTTTGATCTAAACGCCATTGACTTGTTCAGCCAATGGAAAAAAAAGGCCGTTGACCCGTATAATCTGTTGCATGATTAGACCATGCTATGCACATAAATGGCATATTAAATAAAAAATATTTGTAAATATCAAATTAACATAATAAAAATTTAAAAGTTGACTAAGATCGTGCATGTGAAATTATATAATTATTGCATATTCAATTTTCGGAAGGCTTGTATATTAGCAACTAGAGTTGGTTGACGTTTTGCCATTGCCTAGAAATTCCTATCTCTTATTCTTTTTTTTATTTTTTAGAAAATGAGCAAGTTGTGGATTTGGTGCAAAAGCCTATGGAAAAACCACTCCACTTAAATGACCAACTACCCTTTATTTATCTATACCTAAGTGATCTTAGTTTTTTTTGTTCGCACAAAAATACGGATTAGTTTTTAATTTAGAGAATTTTAATGAAAAAAGCTTGACTTAAATTTTTTTAATAAAAAATCATCTAATAACTTTATTTAATGTAAACAGGTTGAAATTTAATGAAAATAACAAACTACAATATAATAAAGACAAAAACTAGAGCCTCATGAGTAGGAAACAAAGCCACGTGCAAAACTTTTTTTTTTTTCCAGCCAATGCCCCTGTTTGAAGCCCCGTTCTGTCAGTTCAATTTCATCAGAAAAACTTGTTATAAAAATAAGATCTTGTAGCCACTTAGTATTACAGTGTAATAGTATTCATCTTCACTTGTAAATAAGAGATTTTAAGTTAGATTATCGGCAAAAATAAATTTGAACCACAATATTATTAACACATTATTAGGTTAAACCCACTCTTTTTCTTTAGCATAAAAAATAACGTTTAGTTTTTTCGTTCTCTCCGTCAACAACCACCTTCAATTTTTTTCTCATCCCTGGTGCATGCTAGCTTTCCTGTTACTAGCCTGTTTAGCAAGTGGCACAATGTGCATGTACTTTGAATAATGAAATCCCCCCTTCGCCGAATTTGTTCCCAAATAAAAGAATTGAAGACGCCATTATTTGTCTACTGAGATCACATCGAAAGCTATAGACTGACCACGTGGATAAATAGAAAACATATAAAATACAAATGCTGGTAAGAGAATAAACCAGTAAAATGATCCGATCCAAAATCGACCTAATAATATTAACAGATAATATGATCTGATCCGTTACCAGTTAAGGAAAATATATTTTAAACCAATAAATAATCAAATGAAAAATATAATATTAAATAAGTATATACATACCATATTGTCACATCCCAAAATATATAAGATGTATCGGGCAGATAAGAAAAGATAAGAATTATAATAATTGCAGCTAAACAAAAACTTTCCGCAAAAATTAAACATTCCAAGCTTTCAACTGCCTCGTTTAATGATGGGTAACCTTCAGAGATAAAAATAATCAACTCTTCCTTAAACATTGCATACAAAGAAATGGAAACAGATAATAAGATATCAATCTATAAACTGAACTGGTGTTGCGTGCTTAACTTACATACAAAATAATAATAAAATGAATGCAAACTCTGCAGAACCAGAAGAGTTTAGAAATTAGAAACAAAGTACTGAATCCACTAAATTCATGGTTAAGAAAAATGAAAATCTTTGTATAAAGGAATATCTATCAATAAAATAGAAATAAATAGTTAAATACCCAACATTAAATTGAAAAATCAGCACAAGATTTGTAACTAATCGATCCAGATAGGTCCAAGAAACAAACAATCAACGTATTTCAACAAAATAAGAACTCACCTTTCCTTCCAATGCTTCAACTACAGCAAGAGCCTTGTCCACTGCACGAGGGAGGAGAAAAGAAAGACTGAGAGAGGCTACTTGAAGAACTGAACATACGGTGGGAGAGAAGGGCTAGGAAAAACAGATGGCGAGATCAGGAGAGAGGGTTACAAGATTGGGGAAAGAGAAAGGGATTAGGGCTTTAGTTTTGATCAAATGGTAAAATTGGAAAATAATGGAATAGAGAAGGGGTTTTTTTGTGCAAAAAAAGTTCTAATAATATAAGTGAAATAGAATCCAACGATACAAATTACTCTCATTTATCTTACGGCTGTTATTTAAGTAAAGTCTTTAATAGTTTTTTAATTAATGTAGAAGTGAAAAAAATATAGAAAAAATATATAAGCGCTCGTACTAACAAAATTTACAACTTTCATGAAGTGCTTAACTTTGAAAAAATCATAGATCAAAATTTAACCGTTGATTTTTGTTTACATTTACGCTTCATTTTTTTCATCAAATTTTGTTTTTTCGGATTTTCTTTTTTGAAAACATGATTTATTAGAGGATGTAGGAAGATGAACGGTTTGGATCGTTTATATTATGTTCAGAGTTTTACGGTTAGTGAAAATATTGCTTGATGTTTATAAAGTTTCTACAAACTATATGACATCGACTCATATTTCAGTTAACTGTAAATATCGAAACGTGATATTAAAGATCTGAACCATTCATCTTGTTACATCTGCCAAATGATCTTGTTTTCAAAAAAGAAAATTTAAAGAAATGAAATTCAGTAAGAAAAATAAAGCGTAAATGACAATTGACAGTTAAATATAAATTTAAGGTTTATGGATTATAGTGTTGGATTTCGAAGCTAACTGTGACAACCTGTCCCTAAAAATTCGTTTTATTTATTTTAATCGAGGGAATTGACGAAAATGCCTAGAAGCAAGGATTTTGATTTCTGTTGACCATCATCTAGAGGAATGTATAACTTATTCTTTTGGTGTAATTATGTAGTATTCGTTGGTACGAACGCATAGGCAAAAGCCGTTTGTGAGTTCGGATTTTATCAGTATAGTTATGGATGTTTGAAATTGGTT